TTTTTGCTGCGAAGTGTTCTATATATCACATGATTAAAATTCTATACTATGATTGGTTTATAAATAAATATAGTTTTTTATTGTTTTTTATTAAAAATTTAGATGTTTTAAAACATTTAAAACATGTTTTAAAATAGGTTGTTTTAAAACAATTGCTATCCCTAATTTGAATAAAAAAAATTTTTATTAAATTTGATCAAGTGGGTGTCAAGATATCTTCGATCAAAACTGTGTTAAAAATTTTGATACAGTTTCTATATAATCAGTATTTAAAAATTTTCTAAAGCTTTGATCGAAGATATCTTGGTATCCACTTGATCAAATTTGATAAAATTTTTTTTATTTAAATTCTACAAATCTGTAAAATTCGAATAAAAAAAATTCATCAAATTTGATCAAGTAGGTGCCAAGATATCTTCGATCAAAGTGTTAAAAATTTTGGTACAATTATAAATACCAATAGACAGTCTATCTGCTTGATAAGATCGTAATTCTGAATTATACAAAGATTGTTAACCCATCTGACATCAAATGATTATCAAAAATAGTGATCATATAGTTTTTTTGTATTTTAATTGGTCAAACGGCCAGAGATATTTAAGTTATATATCTCTAGCTAGAGATGTCTAGAAGAACCTATAACTAAATTATATATATATTTGCAGTAGAATTATATATCAAAAATTAATTAAATATATTATATAATATTTTAGAATTAAATATAATAAATAAATTTTTAATAAAAGTAAATATAAAACTCTAATAATAAAATAAAAATATAGAAAAATTACAAAATAAAATAAATATATAAATATAAATAGAAAATAGATCAACAATCAATATTTAAAATAAATTAACAATTAATATATAAAATAGATAAACAAATAATATTGTTTTAATAATTCACAAATTTGCAAAATAATTATATTTTTAGGTATTTTCTGTTTTTAAAATTTATATTACTTGGTATATATTCACAGCTTTTGCAAATATTCACAACTATTCGCAACTATTTGCATCTATTAAATTATTGCAAAACTTGCTAAAATTAAAACTGAAGAAAATTTTAATATAGTCGTCCTCCCCTATAATCACACAGTTGGGTATGTACCAACTAGGTGATTATAAAGAGGTGTGACTTTATAAAGGTTACTTCTATATAAGCACATCTTATATTAAAAATAATTAATGTGATTTAATAGAGGTAAATCTTATAACATATTATAATTAGGTTTTTTATTTTTTGTACATGCTATACAATCTTTCTTTCTCTCTTTTAACGAATTATCATAACGAGTCGACAGGGTCACAGGGACAAGAAAATACGAATATATGACCAATATAATTTAATGCAAAGGGTTTAAAACACTACTTGGATACTTCTACTATATTAACTTCGAAGTTTTGATACTAAGAGTTGTATGTCTTTTATTTGAAGGAAAGTGTCGTTGCTTTTATATATTATTTTTCATATATCGTGATTACATGAATAACAATAATTTTTCGTATACTAACTAATCTGTCGTTTCTCTATTTTACTTTCGAATTGCTACTATCTATTCTATACTATAGATATCAAGCTTTGTTGCAATTTGTAACTATTATTGCGACTCGCGAAAATTTCTTATTTTTTCATGATTTTTGTGATTTTCGTGATCCCAAGGATTATTAGGATTGTACTACCTTGAGACCACAGCAACAACCGGGATACAATTTACCCTTTTACAATGTATGTACGTACATATATATTATTTGTTCAATTGCTTTATTAGGCTAATACAAATTTGTTTTTAATGATTTTATGTCTAAAATTGAATGACTTTATAATTAGGATGTTCACTTTCAGTATAATAGACTTACCAAAAGCATTTTAACACACCAAATACTTTTGATTCTTGAAAATTTTTTCTGAATATATTGAGGACTATATCTAATTAGGCGAGACCAACTTGATTCTGTAGTTTACATTACCTTCCTCCCCTCCAGAAGAGGGGGGTTGTAGTTTACATAAAAATTTTTTTTTTCAAAAAAAAATTTTTCCAAATTTTTCCGTAACTATATAAAAATTTTTTGAAATAACCTGTAGCCCTATGTATATTTTTTTTACTATGAGAGAGAGGGGGCATGCTGAGAAGGGGGTAATGTAAACCACAGAATCAAGTTGGTCTCATCTTATCACGCAAGTTACTACAATTTTTCTCTTAATGTTAATGAGAATAATCAAAATATTGATAAAATATACGCATACTATAAAATATATATATAGAAGACAAAAAAAAAATCATCACAACACGATATCATAATCTTCCTCGTTATTTAATAGTGTAAAAAAATCATTAATAGATGTTTGGCGCTTAGATGCAACATATTTTCTATTTATCAGAGCTAAGTATTTTCGAAAAATTTTAAGATCCTCGGCTTTAAACTCTTCATCAATTTGTTGTTCAAAGAAGCTAATAAATTTATTTAAACTATTAGCCCTTCTGAAATAGGAATTTCTGGTTGTTCTTTGTCTAAATCATCAGGATCTCCATTATCACGTTGATTTGCTTCATCTAAAATAATTTCAATAATCTCTGAATTCTCAAGCTTTTTTTTAGTTATGATATGCAAATCATTAAGTGTTCTATTTCCGGATCCAGGTTCTGAGAAGTCAAATCTATTACCAATTCATTGACATCCTCTTCTTGCTATTCTAACAGCACATCCTGACTATTGGTAGCAACTTCTATTTCTTCACGGGGAACTGATGCCAAGATTCTAGTCTTTCTCAAATAATTGATGATTACTGTATCTTTAACAGCATCCCAAGACTCAGATACATAGTAAATAGTATTCTTAATATTTAATTTTTTTCTAATTAAAATTGAAATATAATTAGCATTAAACATTATTATATAATTAAAGGATAACACTAGTAAAATTTAAAAATTCACCGTGTTGAATAGCATGATTTGAATGCCACTCAAACTGCTATTCGAACTACCATTCAACACTATCATATGATTTCACTGACACGCATGTCTGTGAAATCATATGGTAGTATTGAATGGCAGTTTGAGTGGCATTCGAATCGTGCCATTCAACACAGTGAATTTTTTAATTTTATCAGGGTAAGTTCTTAACTTTTATAAATCTTCATTGTTTCCAAGCTGCATTAGTATGTGACAAATATATTTTTGTTTATATTTGGATTTGAAACTTTTGATAACACCCGCATCCATAGGTTGAAGATGAGCAGTGGTATTTGGAGGTAAAAATTCAAGTTTAATATTAGTCAATCGTATATTTGAATAATCAGCAATATTACGTAGTTTACTGTAACCACTACCATAACGGCCTTTACTCCCGCCAGTGCTATGTTTACCACGGGTACCACGATTACTATGACTACTACAACTAGTACTTGCACCCTGATTGGGTCTGGTTAATCTTGGTCGACCTCGACCTCAACGATTTCTGCGCGAAACAGCTATCATCTCAGGTTCAGAATTATTAGATGTTTCTTCATCCAAATCAGAATTTGATTCAATTGGTTCATTTAATTCACAAGTATTAGATTGGTCATGAAAATGTGATGAGCCATTATTTACTATTAGCAAGACTTGGCAATTCTGAATGTGAAACCTCAGATCCAAGTTTATTAACTATTCAGAAAATACGTCATTTTGCATCCATGCTCGCGAATTTGCACGGTAAAGAACAGGTAATGAATCATAATTAACATTATGAAGCACATGAGGAGAAATTGAAAACCCAATCACTAATAGTTTTAATTTTTCTGTTTCACTTGCATTGCATGCTAACATAATAGTAATTCGTGAGCGATCCTAATTATTATACAAAAATTAAATGTTTAAAATGTATTATGTGTAAATTAAATGGTTGCATCTAATTTTTCTGGTGGTCCCTTCACTACGAGCTATTTACCTGATATCATACAAGGTAATAATTTACCAATAATATATACCTGCATCTAAAATGTTGATTCTAACCCAATGTGATGCCAGATAAATAATCTGTTAGCGAAGTGACTATCAGAAAATAGCAACAACGATATTAAATTTAATTATAAGGCACGCCAAATTAATTCTCTGTTTTACATAATTCTCTTTATTTTTTTAAAAAATATATACAGTCAGACCTTTCTAAATGCATAGCCATGGGGCGGCCAAAAAATCTTGCATTTAAAAAGATATTGCATTTAGGGAGGTAAAAATCTATAAGTGTCATATGAGTTGGGGAGCCAACAAGACCATGTATTTAGAGAAGTCTTTCATAGACTATTCATTTAGAGAATATGCATTTAGGGAGGTCCGACTGTATATATAAAGTATTACATTAACTTATCAAATTGCAGTATTATTTTTTATATATTTTTTTATAGCCAATGAAATTATTGTTCCTCCTCTCTTACAAAAAATATTTTATATTAAACAAAGAATTAATTCGGAATAGACTAATATAATTACTAACCTTTTTAAATCCAGGTCTTGATCGAGATGCAAGTTTTTGTCTGGTGCCATACGAAAAAAAAGCTCTGTTTCATCTGTGTTAAACACATTATCCAACATATAGTTTTCAATCAATTCATGCAATTTTTCTCGATATTCAGAAAGCGAAAATAGTGGCGCACTATTAGCTTCTTCATTTAATCTAATGTTTCTAAGATTATTGCGCTGTTTAAACTTATGAACCCATCCATTTGAAAATTTTAAAGCATCTTTACCCAGGTTCAAAGCTTTTGCAAAATCCGTTGCCTGTTCTTTAATTATTAGTTCAGTTAAAAACATTTCACTATTAGTAACTTGTTCGACCCAGATTCTCATTAATTGATCCAATAGGAGATATTTCACTTGTTTATGTCGAAATAAGGTAGAACTTAATTGGTCTTCAGTAACCATTAACCATTTTGATTTATTTTTTAATATTTTAGAAACTGTAGACCGATCTAATTTTAAATTGAGATCTTGAGAATTAAAATGGTTTGCTATATCTATTTGTCTTTGATTAGGATTATTTTGACTATATTCATATATTTTTTGTTTTAAATGTTCACTAACAGCCATTCTTTGTCTTTTTTGCAGTAAATTTTTAGATGACATAATAAAGAAAGTATTCACCCGAATATTATCTAAAGGATTTATGGAACTAATGGTTCCTTTTATATTTAAATACTTACAGTATGCTATATACGAATTTTATTGATTTTTGTAATAGCAAATACAATTATAAATTCCTCTATTTGAAAATATATGGATAACGCCAAGTAAAATTGGAGTTGGAAATTTTAAATTTTTATCTTTTTTAAATTATCTATTGTTATTTCCAGTTTACATTAATTCATATCCTGGTTATTAACAAGCTTTAATTATATAC